GCTAGAAGACGAAGATGATGTTGGCGCAGCGATGTTACTAGCATTGACAGAATGAGTTAAAGTCTCACCTGCATCTTCTGTCTCCCTTTCGGCATGCAACTTCGGTCCTTCGCTTTGAATAGTATCATTCACAGGATAGAGAATGTTATCTTGAGATGAACTAGGATGTGAGTTTGCAAAAGAAGTACCAGTATCCGTAGCGTAGATCTCTTTTTTATTCTTGAAGGAGGATAATTCTTTCTGTGCATCTTGTATTTCATGTCGCAAAGTGGCAGCTTCCGCTTGAGAAGAAGCCATAGTGCCTTCCACAGTAGCAAATTGCTTCTTGTTGATAGCAATCAGTCCTTTAACGTGTCGTGCCTCCTTTTCAAGCTTTTCAAGCTCAACGTTAAGACGAATAATTTCTTCGTTGGTCACCTTGATCTTCTCTTTTAAAGCCAGGTTTTCATTTTGGTCCAATTCCAATGCAGATGAGGTTTCCTGGTAACGTGCTTGCAAAGCATGATAAGTAGCTTCTAATACAGAGAAATCGCGACGCAAATCCAATGTTTCTTTGCGTGATTGTTCGAGCCGAGTCTCTGCCTGTTGTACCTTCATTACCTCAGCATCATATAATTGACGCAATTGAGATAATTTCGTCTCGATTTCGCTCTTGGCCTTGCTGGCCAGACTAGCAGACTCTTCAAGACTGGCACGCTTACTTACAAGGCCCTGAGTCTGGCTCGTTAGAGACGAAACTTGATTACCAAGGTTCGCTAAAGCTGCTGCTTCCTGTGGAACAGCTACGTCATCAGCAGAATCAAGAAGATCCTTCTCAGGCGCAGGTGCAGGTGCAGGTGCAGGTGCAGAGACAAAAGTCGAGCTAGATGCAGCTTCAGGAGCGTCAACTGGTGAAATAACTGGATTAGATGCCTTGGTAGATTCGCCTAATGCTGTAACAGATTCAAATGATTCCATAGGTGCCTTTTTTATGTTAGCAGCCATTTGCTGTCCAAAGGAGGATTGTGGAACAAACACAGTGCCTCTTGGTGATACAACATTCGACGATGCTCTTCCAGTTGGCGGTTGGGAATTGACCGATGATCCAGTGAAATCGTTTTGCAAACTCGGAGAGGAGCTAAAGGCATCATTCAAATCAAACAATTCATCTAAAGCAGTCTTCTTACGCGCAACAGGGGGGTTCATAGGCGCAACCGGAAGGTTTGAGGATTGATAAGAAGGATTATCATGAGCAATAGTAGGCGATACGTCTGCAAGAGAAGATGGTAGAGGTTTACCATGCAGAGCTTGTTCAACAAAGTACATTGCAATGCAGAAATCATCCTGGTCAAAAGTTCCCGTGTTGTGCCTATCAGACAAGTCCCATATTTGTGCCAGGATAGCATCAGATAAGTTTGACTTCTTCAAGAATGGTACCGCTTCACTAGAGCCAATTTGACCCGCATGATTAGTGTCAAGAGATTGAAAGAGAGATCGATAGCGGGATCTATCTCGGGCGGAAAGCGGCACGGGAAGTGGTTCCTCGAAGGTGGGCTCGGAAGAAAGCGGCATAGTGAAGTTGTTACGATCAGGAGATTGTACCGATTCCAATGCAACAGGTGAAACCATAGAATTCCTTCGGTTCGGTGCAGGAGGTTTAGCATGCGAAGTCTTTGGAGAAGCGTTAAACAAGTCGACAACAGGCTCGGGATTCACTGTGCCTTCAGCAGCATCATAAATGGATTGCGGTATAGCACTAGGTACAGATTTCAAAGAGCCCTTCAGGCAGTTTTGAATAAGATGCATCGCAACGATGAATTGCGGTTTTTCTAAAAACCCGCGTTGCTTCAAATCAGCGAGATTCCATATTTGGCCGAGTACCTCTGGTGATAAGCGCGCCTTGAGAAAGATCTCACGAGCCTTATCACCCGAAAGAATACCATTGGGAGCTGTACGATCAAACAGAGATGCAAAGCGAGACCTATCAGCCGGAGTTAGAGGAGGAATTGCGGATCGGGCATTTGTGGCTGGATCCAAGAGAGGATTGCTATAGGACGACGTTGCAGGAGCGTTGGAAGTCGCGAGGGCGGTTGTCGGAGAAGCAGTGATGCCGTCAAAACGAGGTAGCGGTCCGGGAGAAGATATAAGCTCTGATCTAATAGGCCTGCCGTGCTGCACATGACCGATGAGACGACAGGCGATCGAGAAGCCTAATTGGGTCAGGAATCCGGCGTTATCGGTATCGGAAAGTTGCCATATCTCACCCAGTTGCAGAGGCGAAAGACCAGATTTTTCGAAAAGAGATCTTGCAGAGTCGCCAGTGACCACGCCTACGCCGTCGGTATCGGCGGCGCGGAAAAGCTGCGCAAAGAGGCTTTTTTCAGCCGGAGTAAGTACGATAGCAGGCGCCGGCATTGTTTTCACGAGCGTGCAGCTACCGCCGTCTAAAAGGCTTGAAGACTAAGTTTTCACAAGTAGGTACACCTGATGCAAACACAAGGCTATGAGTTCGAACAGCAGAGAAGCTGAATAAACGAAGCGACTTAGATGCCGGAAGGTAGATAGATAAGATGGACAGGCCCGGTGGTGGGTGGGGGATGCTGCATGAGGCAGGCATGCGGATGGTTGCTATGGAAAGCAACAATAATCACAACTTCAATCACGAACCTTGTAAGGCATTTAACGATTAACGCGGCTTGATTCTGGCTTGATTACTAATGAAATCCAGTCGCAGCGCTTCGGAAGGTACAGCTGTGACCCGTAATAGCAGTAGTAAGACCGATAGTGTAAAATATGAATTATGTTCGCAATGCAAAGTGCAGATGACAAGAGCGGATGGTCCTATTGGATTGCACAGGACTTGCGCGCAGTGCAGACGCGCTTCACGTGAACGTAAGCGCGCACAACGAAGTCGCCGGTTTTCGACGTTATCGAGCAATGGAATTGTCGCAGGTAGGTATTCCTCTTCTAGTATGCATGACGAAATTAATGAGGAACCCCTGTTGTTCAATGAGTTTCTTGACGCACTGGCTGATAAGTCTAAGAAGGACTTTCCTTACACGAAATTCATTATCGAGAGTTACAAAGACGAACTTCCTGGGGGCGACGAAGCCGAAAGTGAGAGTGACGATAACGTCGAATATGATAGCTTTGATGATAATGAACATAAGAGTCGCAAAAGAGCCAGACATGACGGAAAATTCTCTCCAGAAGATCGCAAGAAACTATTAGCATATGTCTACAAGCATATCCGCGATCGTATACAGGAAGAAACTGGCTTCAAGTTTGTTCTCAGGTCCACATCATATCGCGACAATAGCGCGAGCTACACCCTTTATTGTTCTCAAGATATCCCTCCAAAGATTCTGGATGCACTTCCAGACGATGACGAAGAAATTTGGAAAAAGTACCCTTGTAAAGGAGGCTGCCTCACTGTCAAATATTTGAGTCATCTCAAATCATTTGATTGTGCTTATTCACACATCTACCATACTCCTGCGCACTTACCACAAAATAAGGATGTACCTAACATTAATCGTTTTATTCGCAAGAATATTTCACTCGGTCCGAAGAAGCTACTTGAAGCACTGAAGAGCTCTACGGATCCTGAACTTAAACAAGCTGCCTCCAATATGACTCTGGCACAATTAACGAATCTGCGAAATCGGCAGAAAGACTACGTTTGGCTTCGCGACTCCGAGCTGCCTTTAATGTCGGCTCGAAAGTACACCGAAGAGCAACGCGGCTACACTGTCAGAACTCTAGAAGACGAAGCCCAAGCTTCTAATGAACAGTTTGAACGCAGCCATCCAGAGTTTACCAATGGAAAACATGAAGTCGGTGCCCTTCACAGTGATGAGGATATTCCCGACTATGGTATGTTTCCTGATGATGGATACGGTGTTGCGCTGGAAGATTCTTTTATCTGTCTTTATGAGAATCTGCTGAAACCGCTTGCGGCAGAAGGTGTTGAAAACATGGCAGTGTTCATTGAATCAGGAGTAGGCAAGGATCACGAGCATATTAGTTGCGTTTTCTTTTGCGAATATAAGGGGTCTTGTATTCCGATTGGGCATGGTTGGATACCAGAAATTCTTCAATACGAACAACCAGATATCATTAAGCAGACAGTCCAATTCGCATTCAAAATACTTTATGATCGCGGAATTAGACCTAAGTTCGTTTTTCACGACGACCAATCCAAATATGTTAAATCCTTCTTCGATCCAGCAGGAAAATTCTCGGTGATTGAATGTACCGGTGGCGGTCTTAATGACCAATTTCGACGGTTTTACTATTCGTCATTTAGTGATGAATCCGACTCTGAACCAAGTACCAGATTCGACGGTCAACCTGCTATAATAGCGAACTATGATCCTGACGAAGTCGCAGAAGTTATTCCTGATGTGGAACCCTGTTTTGGTGTTAAACCAGAAAACCGAAAAGGTATTCATGCCGAAGGCAAATGTCAATGTTCTCAAAAGGATTCTTACGATTACAAGAACCATGTGAGTTCTCAAATACTGAAGCTTTATGATGAACAAATGGAGTCTGTCAAGAAATATTTATTCCCGGATTCAACAGACGATTGGATCAAACAAGTACAAAAGGCATGTACCGAAGAGATGTACAAGAAATGCTTTCAACTCAAGCAGGGATACTTGTGGGTTTTCTTATGGCTAACTGTTTACAGGCTACCGGCTTTGAAAGCATTAATTGCGGCTCCTGAACGCCCAAAGTCCATATTCTCCGAGAACCTCAATGTAATCGAACCTTACACCAAAGTGGTATTTGCTCGCAACCATGTCAGCAGAATCGATAAAATTAACTTCTTGATGCTGGAGTATGCTGCTAATGTTGCAGATAACATTTCTGATCTGTGATCATATGTTAATAAATAGTTGTTGTTGTTATTATAGTAGTTAACAATATGTGATGCCCGGAAGATTAGATCTATTAGAAATTTTAACATACTGATCATCTTATGAAGACATGACGAATACTGTTATTAACCGATTAGTGGCTCGGTGGTTTAGTGGTATAATTCTCGCTTAGGGTCTAACTCCTGAGCTTAATTGCGAGAGGTCCCGGGTTCAATTCCCGGCCGAGCCCTTCTTTTTTTATTGACATTATTTGGTATATGAACTGTAAAGACAATCTATTGCGTTCTATTGTCTTTTTAATTGTTTAGCTCATTGATTAAAGCTAAATTCTACATTGTCATTCGAAGTGTGCGTGGTGTAGTAAGTGTGCCTTTACATGTGCACAGAGGACTGAACTTTCGAGAACACATAGCATTTTTTGTTTAACATATTAGATCTTTTGCTTTAAAGGATGAGCGAAGAATCGGCACACAAAGAGCTTTCGAAGCTGGAGGAGAAGTTTGCATTAGCTGATGAAGAAGTTATGAAGCTTCAGAATAAACTGTACAAGCCAATTCTTGAAGAGAGGAAAGCGGTACTGAAATCGATCCCTAAATTCTGGCCTATGGTATTAGAGCAGTATGGAGAGGCAATTGAAAAGCATATTACGCCAGACGATCAAGAACTGCTTGAAACAATTGAATCTATTGAAGTCGAAAGGGATGATGACGATATTAGAAGTTTTGAGATCAAGTTTGTTTTTGGCAATAACGAGTTCCTCGAGCAGACAGAGATCACCAAGAAGTTCAAAGCTATTAGCAAGCACGGCCAAGACATCAAATATGAATCTACGCCAGTAGAGATCAAATGGAAGACAGGCAAAGATTTGACTAAGAGAGAAAAAGGAGCTGCACCTAGTTTTTTCGATTTCTTTGCATTCAAAGGTGATGATAAAGAAATGTTTCCAGAAGCTGAGGAAATAGCTGCATCGATCTCTGAGGATTTGTATCCTAATGCTGCGAAATACTATGTGGATGCGATAAAGGAACTTTATGAGGATGAAGATGAATCTGATATTAGTTTAAGCGAAGAAGATGAAGATGAAGATGAAGAAAATAATGAGAGTGATGCGATCGAAGAACCTCCGCAAAAGAAACTCAGATCAGAATAACAGCAACGCTATATTGTAATGGAATTCTGAATAAATCAATAACTACTATTAAGGTGTATTCATATCAGTGTACTTTTCTACTAGACTATTTATTGCTGCTTATTAAAACGATAGTCTAGATCTACTACTTGATAATATAATGAACCAAGTCATAAATTATAAAACCAATTTAACTACTCTTATTGGTTGATATTTATTAACTTTTCTGTTCACTCCGTTGTTTTTCCCGTTTCTATATAGCAAGGCCTTCACCACAAAAAACATCTCTCTTCCACTAAAAAAATTCACTTAAACACTGCCAGCGAAGTCACATTCTTTGAGTCATTGTTTGATTTTGATTGGTCATTTCTTTATATCTGCCAATCATTGCGTGTTGCTCTTGTTTTTTTGAGTAACTCTTTCTATAAATGACTGACAAAATCCCAATGTTAGCTCTGCCGGGCCCTGTCGCTCTGTCCCCTTTTAGAATCTCTTCTCTTCAATCTACACTGAATACCGCTGTCAATTCTAATGCGATCACTGCTATCGCGTCAATTTACGTTCATTACATTGCAGTGTCATCTGAAAACTCACCATTGTTTGTCAGTTCCTCTCATGAACGTCAGCTTCTAGAGACCCTCTTGAAGTACGATAACCCCCCCGATCCAAATGATCCCTTGCAATCTCTCCTTGTCACGTCAGCGCAAGACACTCATTTTTCGCACACCGAAGCTGACTCTTACCTGGTGCGCGTCATTCCTCGTCCTGGTACAACTTCTCCTTGGTCCTCCAAAGCTACCAATATCGCCGTCGTATGCGGCCTGGGCGATCAACTCTCCCGTATCGAGCGTGGCCTCATCTATTTGATACAAGTCAGAAAAGGATTTCCTTTCTCATCATATCTAGAGTCTCCAGCATTCTTAGACTTGCTTTATGACAGGATGACCCAAAAGTTATTCCTCTCTACTGCCCCCTCGGCCTCCGATCTTTTCCAGGTCTCCTCTCCTAAACCGCTGATCCAGATTCCCCTTGGTAAATCTCCTCAGACTGTTCTTGAGGACGCAAATACGCGTTTGGGACTTGCATTGGCCCCGCCTGAGATTGCTTATCTTGCTGAAGCTTTTGCTAATTCAGATAAAGCTCTCACCGATGCTGAGCTCTTCATGTTTGCTCAGGTGAATTCAGAACATTGCCGTCATAAGATCTTCAATGCTGACTGGAAAATCGACGGCGATTCTAAACCTCATTCTCTGTTTTCGATGATTAGGAATACCCACCAGCTCAATCCTAAATATACGGTTTCGGCGTATTCTGATAACGCTGCCGTCATCGAAGGAACAGGCCCTTCATCGTACTTTTTTTATAATTCCGAAAGTCATCTTTGGCAACGTCGAAAGGAAGATGTTCTTTTTGTCGCCAAAGTCGAAACTCATAACCATCCAACTGCCGTCTCTCCCTTTGCCGGCGCTGCGACAGGCTCAGGTGGTGAAATTCGTGATGAAGGTGCCGTAGGTAGAGGTTCAAAGCCGAAGGCAGGCCTTGCAGGATTCACTGTATCAGATCTTCTCATTCCAGATCATCATATGCCCTGGGAAATAGATGTTGGCAAACCTATGCATATTTCTTCTGCCCTAGATATTATGCTCAAGGCCCCCATCGGATCCGCATCTTTCAGCAACGAGTTTGGCCGTCCATGTATAACTGGCTACTTCAGAACCCTCACCACCACAGTACCTATTTCTAATTCAAAGAGCGAAATAAGAGGTTATCACAAACCTATCATGATTGCCGGTGGCCTTGGTACCGTGAGACCAATGAACGCTCTTAAGAACGCTACAGTTCCTCCAGGCTCAAAATTAATAGTTTTAGGAGGACCTGCTATGCTCATTGGTTTAGGAGGTGGTGCAGCGTCTAGTGTAGCATCGGGTGATGCTGCTGCTGAACTCGATTTTGCTTCGGTTCAGCGTGAAAATGCAGAAATGGAACGTAGAGCTCAAGAAGTAATAGATTCTTGCGCATCTATGGGTGATGAGAACATTATACTATCAGTTCACGATGTCGGAGCCGGAGGTCTATCCAATGCTTTCCCCGAGCTTGTTCACGACAATGGTCTTGGCGCTGTTTTCGAGATCCGTGATGTTCCCTGCGCTGACCCTAGCATGTCTCCTATGGAAATATGGTGTTGTGAAGCTCAAGAACGCTATGTTTTGGCCGTATCACCGGAGAATGTCGATAGGTTTATTGCTATCTGCAAACGTGAGTCTTGTACCTACGGAGTTGTAGGCACTGCAACTGAAGAAGAAAGACTTGTGGTCACCGATAGACTTCTTAAAGACAACGTTGTTGATATTGATATGTCTACTCTATTCGGTAAACCACCAAAGTTATCTCTTGTCTCTAATACTCGCAAACCAAAGATTCCTGCTTTTAATGAGACCTTGACCCCATATATCAACTCTACTGAATTATCGGAGAAGCTTTATGACGCCGTCAATAGAGTGCTAAAGCTCCCTGCTGTTGGCTCTAAATCTTTCTTGATCACTATTGGTGACCGAAGTGTTAGTGGCCTCGTGGCTCGAGACCAAATGGTCGGACCGTGGCAGGTACCTGTTTCTGATGTCGGTGTGACTATGTCATCTCTTGGTTCATCTACAGTAGGTGAATGTATGGCGATGGGCGAAAGACCGTCTTTGGCATTAGTATCACCTAAGGCATCTGCATGCATGGCAGTTGCTGAATCTATTACTAATTTAGTTGCTGCCAACATTCCGGACCTTAGTACGGTCAAGCTTTCAGCTAACTGGATGTCAGCTGCTCATCATGAGGGAGAGGGTGCCGGTTTATATGAAGCCGTGGAGGCGATTGGAATGCATCTGTGTCCTGCTCTAGGTATAAGTATACCAGTTGGCAAAGATTCGTTGTCGATGAAAATGAGATGGGAAGATACTACTAACAAAGAGAACAAGGAAGTTATATCGCCTCTCACGCTTATTATCACTGCGTTCTCTTCCGTTGTGAACACTTCAGCTACTTGGACCCCTCAACTTATTCGGGATACTACTTATTCTGAGTCTACATTATTCTTTATTGACCTAGCAGATGGAAATACCCGACTAGGAGGCTCTGCCTTGGCGCAAGTTTACAAACAAGTTGGCGACAGTGTTCCTGACGTTGTCGATGCTGGATTACTGAAATCATTTGTTGCCTCTACTCGCACATTGCACGATAACGATATAGTATTAGCTTACCATGATCGTTCGGACGGCGGTCTGATTACCACATTACTTGAGATGGCGTTTGCCGGCCGTGTTGGTTTGGAAATTGAACTGCCAGAAACGATTAAATCCACGGGCGATGTTATTAAATACCTGTTCAACGAAGAACTTGGTGCAGTATTCCAAGTTAAGAATCATAAGGTTACAGACTTCATGAATGCTTTCAGAACAAATGGGATCCCTGAATCCATAATCCAGCCTATTGCCAAATTGTCTAAGGATAAGAATCAACCAATAGCCATATACACCAGCGATAAGGCTAAAATATTTGGAAGCACTCGAGCAGACTTGCAACAGGCTTGGGCGCTCACTTCATACAAGATGCAACGACTGCGAGACAATCCTAAGACTGCAGATCAGGAATATATGGCTATCACTGACGATTCCGATCCTGGGTTGTTTTACAGGCTATCATTTGATATAACAGAGAATTTGATTCCGAATCCAGTTACGAGCAGGCCGAAAGTTGCGATATTGCGTGAGCAAGGTGTTAATGGGCAGATGGAAATGGCGTATGCTTTTTCTGCAGCTGGTTTTGATGCTATAGATGTTCACATGACTGATATCCTTAGAGGCCACGTTACGTTGGATGAATTTGTTGGCCTAGCTGCGTGTGGTGGTTTTTCGTATGGCGATGTTCTTGGTGCCGGTAACGGATGGGCTAAATCTGTGTTGTATCATCCGGAGATCCGCAAGGAATTTGAGCGATTTTTCACTGAGCGAACTGATACTTTTGCGCTTGGTGTGTGCAATGGATGTCAATTCTTGAGCCGAATTCGCGAGATCATACCTGGTACGGAAGACTGGCCTACATTTGAGAGAAAC